CAGTTTTCTTTCTTTTTTTCTTTTTTTTTTAATATTTTGTCGAATCTGGAGCAGTTGGCATAAAGGGTCATAAGGCCTCAGACACCCAGTACCACTACAACGAACGAACGAGCAGTTGGCACCTCTGCAAATAAATAGGTTAAGCAGTGATGTCAGTTGCTTTTGTGGCACTAGGCTCTATGAAAATGGTAGAGTTCTATGTGAGCTGATACAGTGTGGAAAAAAAACCGGCATTTGGTCAATGACGGTGCAAATAACTTCTTCAGATCTATTATATTTTGACCAATCAGAGTCTGGAAATTGTTTTAAAGTTATTGCTAATTTTAAAAAAATACACATCAGAGATGACGAATCTTTTTCGATAAGTGCGCCAGTTGTAATGTTTTCGTAATTATTGGTAAACATCATTTTGTAATTATTAGTTTTAATATTTACAACGTAATATTCTCGGATGTTCTGCGCACCACTCGTTAATTTTCTTAATTTTTTTTAAAACTATTGAACTAGGATTATAAACTAAACAATAGGATTATATTGCATAACTCTTCAAATAAAAATATTATAACCTATACTTTAAAAATATTTCAGTTTAACATAAGGTGAAATATTCTAAAAGGGGCACCTGTTGTGGTAAGCTATGAAATGCAATTTCGGTAATTAACGCTAGATATTTTTTTTAGTTTTTATATCTTTCACAACATGGACTAGTGACCTTACATCCTGGCAATATAGTCAGCCTAACATCGTGGATAAGACCGTAATAGCAACCGAATTCGCACCTTTTCTGAATCCGCCTATATTCATAGCTAGCATCTTAGATTTTTTTCAATGCTTTCTATAAATGTTAGTGAATAAAAATAATTTAAAATGCACTTCTGGAGCAACACCGAAATATTATCAAGTACAACATAGTGGCACGTATGCCATAGGTTCAACTTCGAAGTATTTATATCTGTTATAAATATTCTCATTTCGTTCAACTTCGATTTCATATTTTAGCTGGGCTTCTGAGGCCGTGGAGCGTCTCTTTTCCCATTCATCCTGAAATTTATTCATTGATGATTCGATGAGGTATGACAGTCTGGTGAGGAATTATTTTGTTTATCGTGGTAGGAAAACTAAATTGGAAGTTAACTGTAATCAATATTGATAAAAGTTCATCACCACTCTTCATTCCTTCCAGGTTGTGTGCATCCTGTATTTGGTGAGGTATTCTAATAGATTCATTGGATCTGAATACAATAATGTCAGATAGATCTGTAAAGATATGCCTAATAGATCTGAAAGAATGTCTGATAGATCTGAAAAAATTTTAAAACTCAAAATTATCTTGCTGTGTCCACTTTGAGGGAGCATCTGATTTCAAAACGTTAAACGAAAACACACACAAAAATAAGTTTCTATAGATAAGCATTCTGGATACTACTTTCTTGCATTATTTTCTAAGCTGCCTAAAACAGAACGTCCAACGACCCCGCAACAACAATGTCTCCTATAATTCATCAATGTCCTATTGAACAATTTTGTAATTCAACAATGTTTTACTAATACTTGCTGTAGCATTCACTTAACTAAGCTAAAATCAATGACTGAATTATAAATGCCAATTAAGAAAATTTTTTGCATCAATGGTTTGTAACAGCGTTGCATGCGTAAGGGAGTCAATAAAAAGTGCAACCAAGGAAAAGGTCAGGTGTAAAACCTTCGTTTTTGGTGACGTCTTTGATGGTAATGGAACAAAATATTTTTTCTTCCTGTGTCACACACGCATTATTATTTGAACACACGAAATGTTCGAATATTTATTTTTTCTTTTCCTTGCGTAATTCATAGAAGACATTAACGTGTCTGGATTTCTGTGCTTTTTTTTATGCTGACATTTTGAGGGTTGGTGACAACTCTTTTTTGTGACCGTATTTGATGAGAGGGCAAATATTTTAGTCATCTGAGGTCATATTGTCTCTTGAAGGAACTGATAGATACACAAGTGCAAAAGATTTTCAAATTGTATTAGAAGTTTTTTTGAACAATTGAAATCATACCTTCATTCTATAGTTAAAATTTTATTTTTATATTTGACATGGTAGGAAAATAACATGTTTGATGTAACTAAAAGATTAAGCCAGTTTTTGAAACTTTTTCTTATCAAAGCTCAGTTAAGTGGAGGACTGGAAACAACAAAAACGTTTGAAACGAGGAAATTTTACATTAGTTTCATATAAAATAAATTGATTCCATTAAATTTTATTTGTATAGAGGGTTATTCGACTATTTTGATAATCCGATATGCAATTAAGTGGGGACGACTGTTGTGTATATATATATATATATATATCATTATAAATCATTGAAATCATTGACAAACGGTTCTTGAGATTGCTCAAAGTTTTTAAACATTATTATTTTTTTTAAATTGGTAAATATTTTTAGAAGTTACATATTCCATGTAATATTTTGATTTCTTAAAATATTTCTCACCTCCATTTAATTTTCCGAGACAGTTAAAATACGTATTGAAAATTATAATCTAGTGCTCAAAGCATTTAGCTCACTTAAAAAAATAAAAAAAATAATCATTTTACTGTGCCCTGTTTTCTTTGCTCGCTTAACCATCATAATTATTTCGCATTCCCTATTGCTTTTTTCCTAAATGTCGTTTTTTTTCTCACGAAAGAAAGGAACATTTAGTTAATAAAGTATACTATTATTATAATATTATGTAACAACATGCTGTAAATTATCACAAAGAAATGCACAATATACTGGACTTGAAAAATATTTATGTTTACCTTGAAAAAAAATTATATTTGGAAATACAGAATATTTGAAATAATAATGAGAAAAAAAAAGATTAAGTAATACGAAATAATAATAAGAAGAAAAGTACTCGTTAACATAACGCATATCATTATTATAGTTCAAGCAGGAAATGATCTTTATCTTTGAATTAAGATTTTTATTTTTAAACATTTCAATTTAAATGTTTAGAATATATGACAATAATTATTCTCTCTCTCTCTTTCTCTTGTTTCAAAGATCTCGAGAAAGAAAATTAAGTTTTCGCATAAAAGTAAAAATAGTAATTATTTAAAAATTACTATTTTATAAGTGAATATTTAATAAGCAAAAAAAAGACAAAAGGAGCGTTAACTTATTAATTAGCATTATCAAAATAAAATGCAATAACTTTCTTAGAAAGTAGAAATTTAAAAAAAAAATCGTTTTAAGTCCATTAAAAAAATGTCCCTTTAAGTAAGTCAAATTTCAACTTAGTTGTTGTCTGCCAGCTAAACATCCCATATAATTTTTTACTACAAGTTTAACAGTTAATACATGTAGTTGGTTTAATTTTTCTTCGCCTTTTCGTGATTTTAAAATCACGACCTAACACTTAAGTGTTAAGTCTTGCATAAAAATTAAAAAAAATGTAACTTGATTATTTGTAAAGCAAAAAAAGGAAAGAAGAAGAGTAAAAAACATTTAAAATTGCAATAACTTTTGAACAAATTCACAAATAAAAATTACGTTTTCAGCGCGTAAAATGTATGTAGTAATATGTATGGGTGAAAAAAATTCCTCGGCGATAATTTTGTACTTATCAAGTGAAAGCTAAATCTAAGCATTTCTTAGTAGTCTTGAGAAGCTTCGGCTACCAATCATTTATCTTTCCGAGCTATGAGAATACGTTTAATACTTTTAATTGTGAGGTATTAATTTAAAATCAACCAATATAAATTATTCTATCAATTTGAAAAAAATTAATTCAATTACGTTAGGCCTTTTTTGTGTCAGATAAAAATCAATGAAAAGTTGCTCATAAATAATTAAATGCAAAAGATACAGACAAAATGATAGCTCACTTGAGTCATAATTGAGCTTTTCAATCTCGTAAAAAGTTTATGTATGGCAGGGGAATATCATACATATTAATATATTACTGTCCTATTTTAAGAGACAAGTTCATTTTCGGAAAGATTGAAACAGGTAACACGATTATTTCAGCGTTATCATTTAAGATAAGAACATGCCTTTCATATGCGATAAAGAAGAAAACACTGTATAAAGCATGAATGAAATATATGCTTGGCACGGAAACAATTCCATTGTTGCAGTAAAAAAATAAAAAAGTGTCATCCAAAGTAACGTTAAAGCTGATAATACGTAGATACATTGTACTATAACTATGACTTGAGTTTGAAACTTGTAAACTTATCAGGTCTTTTATATATACATGTATTTAAATTATTAAAATATAAAGGTGGTTAGCATTTTTTTAATTAACGGTTCAAGCATAAATTGTAAAACTATTTTAAATAATGATGAAAACTCTCCGGCTCAAAATCATTGAAAGATCTGCGAATCAAAAATAATATGGCCCGACATAATTTAAAAATTAGAATCTGACATATATTTTGACGTGGCATCGATAATATTGTATAAGATCTAAGCATTGCTGAATTTAATTATGTAAGTAAAAATTTGTTTAACAAACTCAGCTTATTATTTTGTATTCTCAATGTTATTCTTACTTTTTTTTGACGAAAGTTAATCCCAATCACTGTACATATGAAAATAATCATAATAAAAGTTTGAAACATCATTTTAACACGTTGAATGCCGTGGAGATCACCGGTGACCGACACTGAGTTTGTTCGTAGCACCACAGGGGTCACCGGTGACCGGCGAAGTCAAGATTATTAGAAGCACATAATTCGAGTAAATTTTATACATTTTATACATTTGAGCAATAACAATCAAAAATATTAAGCTTTTGCAGATTTAAAATTATCCTTGTTGGAATTGTGAAATCATTTCTTGTATCTTAACCGCTGCAAAGTATCTTAAATAGAAAGTTTAAAAAATGGTAGCTGTGTCCAATACAGTATTTGTGGTTGGATATAGATAGGTAAATAAATAAATCCTATGTTAGTGATCAGTTTGTGTATTAAGAAAATTGTTGTATAGAATAAATTTTTTTTAAAAAATTCTAAAATACTTACGCTTTAAACCTAAAACAGTAAATGGTGCAATTACTTTGAAAATTTACTCTTTACAATCTGTGCTAAAAATTTAAAAAAAAGAAAAAGACACAAGGCATAGAAGCGATTGATAATTAGTCATATTGCGATGATTAGTCCCACTGCGTAATGGCGATTGATAATGAGTGATATTAAACTCAGTGGCAGAGAGCTGTTTATTAAACTTGATTTTGCTACAGTTGAAAAGGAAAAATAAATAAAGGGGGAGTAGAGGTTAAGACACTGATCATGTGACCATGCTGGAAGTAAGATAATTACATCAACGTAAGCGTTTCTAATCGAACGAGCGGAATCGCACGATCTCACACCATTCTAACATCCCGCTTGTAAAGATTCATTGTAATAACACTGTTATGCATCAATGGTGCATTAAATTTCTAAAAGTTATCAAGGTGACATTTAACATGCTGTCCCATCCAACTGATCACTTCCCCAAATTACAGTTTTTAATACAAACAGTTACCCAAGTGCTAAAAAATCTAGTATTATTACTGCTGTACTTAGGTAGCATTAGTAATCTTTTAAACTCCTTGCTCTTGAAGGTCTACTTATAGCCATGAAAGCTTTTTTTATCGCGTCAGATTTCAACTACTAAAGGAAACATACTCATCTTAAAGTATTTATCATTAATCACTAAATCCGTAACCTCCCAATACTCAGTGTCCAATACATTAGACAAAATTTTGTACAATTTTATCACTTAAAAGAATATTTATGATTTCTTTTCTGTTTTTATACTTTAAAAAAGCCATTTTCTACTCAAAAACATCATTTGATTACTCTTTCATTCTGATACATTTTCTCTTTGGAAAAATAACCTTAAAAACGTTTACGAAGAAGAAAAAATAATAAAAATTGTAAGCTTGTAGAAAATGCACAACTCGTTTTGTATAAAAATGTACTCGAAAAATGTTTATTTACTATATAATTAATATTAGTATATTCCCTTGTTAACGACATAAGTTTCTCACTACCCCTCCATAGCACATGGAAATGCATTTTACCCTGATTTGCCCCTCTCAGCTAAAGTGGTTTTCCTTGTTCAGTTTTTTCATCTTCATTTTTTTTATTCACTCTCGGCTACTGAAGTTTTTCTAGTTTTGCTTCTCACTTTTATTTTCCATTTTTCGTTGGCAACTTTACATTTTATATTTCAAATCACTTTTGTCTCTTCTCATTTACGTCTGGCAAGTCTTGAAAATGAGTGCCTGTTTTTGAGCGAGTGAAACATGACGACTATTATTTCCAAATGGTATATTTTTGAAGCGAATGACGTTTTTATAATTAACCGCTTCAATTCATATCTTACCGCTTCAGTTTTTTTTGGATTTTTTTATTTTATAGCGCAACATAATTTTTTGTTTCCAAATTTCCTATATTTTTTAGTAGTTGAGATATATTTTTAATGCTGCTCTCACTCAAGGTTTACTCTCAATTATAAGCCTTGCATTTGCCCGCATTATCTATACAGATGTTTATTTATTTATTTTTTTTAAGATAGGCTTTTCGATATTCCCTTGCCCGTTTGTTCGCCACACTGAGTATTCTTTTAATGTTAAGAGATGTTACCAGGTGTTTCTTTCACTTATCTATTTTTATTTATATCATAAGATTTTTTCTTTCATTGATGTTTTATTTAAAATTAAATGCCATTGCCCGGTATTCCCTGTATTGATGTTTTTTTCCTCATTGTACTCTAATCGGGTATTGTAATAATAATCGATTATTAATATTAATATAATTTATGTTTCATAAAAAATTTGTTTATTGTATAAGGAAATGATGTCAATTTAGTAATAGTTTTTGAAATAAAAGTAAAAAGTAATCTCAAGATCAACCTCCTAAAACGTTACAAGCCAACAAACCCTACTACCCGAAATAGGGGAATTTTCTATAGTAGTCTCAAATGGGAAGGGATCAAACGGTATTAAACCAATGGATAGTTTCCGAGTTTTTGAGATAAAGACTTTTGGTCAAAGACAATGACCATGTATGGCAATGACTTGGTCACACTGATCATGTTGTTTGTTTTCCACGAGTAAACTTTGTAAGCAATAGAGAAAAATATATACCACGTTCTAAATGTTATTTCAATACTTTTGATCCATGGGTCCAGCTGCAAGTTGGCTTTAATCATTATAAAATTTAAATTAATCATCCGCAAAATAAAATGAATAAAAAAATTAATCGAAAAAAAGGATAATTTTGTTTCATTGTAAAATAAGCTTTCGTATTTATTTTTTAGAATAAACGCAACTCCATAGAAAACAACTCAACTCTCCTCGTCGAACTTCTCTGCATATTTTGTTTTATTTCACATTTAAATTTTTACGACAACCGTGAAATCAAATTGTCCAATCCTTTAAGTAAAAACACGGTCGGCAGTTAACTTTCTGATGCAGGTGAAAAGGAAGAAAAACGGTTGAATAACCAAACATACGTATTCACCTGCGTCAACAAATATGTTGTAGAAACTAATGTTATCAAATCGTTTGCGCTTGATTCATAGCTCCGGTTTTCGTGAAAAAGGAATTCCAAAGTGTTCCTCATAATGAGGAATTATATATTACTTGCAACACTCCCGAACGTCAAACGGTTGTTCACCTCCAACAAGAAGGTGACAAGTGTGATTGCTGTGATTTGAAGTGTGATTGCTTTTATAAATTCTTTTTATTGAACGCCCGCCATTATATAAGATGTCAAAGTCCCCGCATGATAAAACAGGAAGCAACCCAAGGAAATTTTCTACTTCGTCGAAGATCATGGTAGAGAGAGTGGTTCCATGATTTACATCAAAAAAAAATTTTTGATTTATTCCACGAAGAATTATAGCAAACAATGTGAAATGTTTAACGATTTATACGAAAATATCAACCCTTTGTCTTTACTTTTGGCTGTATTGATAGGAGAGGAAATTCACATGAATTTTTATTTAAACTTACCAACTACAATAATGTTAGATATTTTTTTTCTCTCAATTATGCTATTGTCTTCGAAAGTACACTTAACCCTTTCAAAAACGAATTTTTATTTTCATAAAAATGCATAACAGGTTCAATCTAGATCATGGACCTTAAAAGTAACCTCTTTAAACTCAATGTTTCAGCTTAACTACTAGCTTTTAGAATTTTGAGGACAATTCTTATTGTGGTTATAAAGTGACGATTGAATTTGCATTACTTCACAGAATTTCATTGGTGATAACAGTTCTTAGGAATATCACAACTTAATTACCAGTTTTCTTGAATATATATTTTAAATTTTTAAAATATGTCATGGTGGTTGAAATCATTTTAAATCCCATTTATTATCCCACCAGATAATGAACCCATTACGTTTAAAATTCCTTTGAGAGATTGGGTCCCCATTTCAAAAAATGAAAAAAGTGGTAGCTCGAATGATTTTGCTGGACATTCTCTTTTCCGTGTTACTTTCAGCGCTAAATTAGAAATGATAGGAGTAACTTTTTTGTAATTGAGTTTATTTTGCTAATTTCTGATCAATATTCAAACCTTCGAATTCAAGGACTAGAGGTATTTAAAGAATTTATTCGATGGCTCAGTATGATAAACATGAAATCTAAAAGATTTTTTTTAAAAAAAACTGATGCTGAAACATGTACTGAAATGACTGAATTTTACACACGATGAGTAAAATGGAGGAATTTGCTTTTATTTTATTTGGCAGGTTTTTAGTTTTTTAGCCACATGAGTTAATTTTATTTATTTATTATTATTTTTTTTTGTTTTGAAAAAAGCTTTAGGAGTTTCTTGTATAATTTTGCTCCTTCTGTATTAGTGGTAAGTTGCGCAAATAAATTACATCAGTTTAGGGACCCACTATACCATTTTTTTTTTAGCAGATTTTTACTAAAAAATAATTTTTCTGTTTTTAACACAGAATACAACCGTGAACTTTTCTTTCTTTAAAACCGTTTGAGTTCTGTTTTTCTGTTTCTACGTCAAATCGAACTAAAGTTATGATGATTTTTAAAAATCATTTGTTTTGGTTATTACATTATTAACTATGCCCCTTTTGTTCTTTTCCTCAGAATTAATTTTTCGGTTATTTTCTTTATTTTAGATGCAATACCTCAAAATACTTTAGTTCGAATTGCTTAAATGTTGTCTATATGTGTAGGGAGTAGACAATAGACTAGAGGATTAAACTATTATTTTATATTTTACAGCATAAATAAAAATATTCCATAATATTTACAGCATAATAAAATTTACAGCATAAATAAGTTCCGATAGTTGCTGTAAAATATCTAAATATTACTATTATGTCTAGCGCGCTGTCTACCAACACCTCCTAGAAAAGAGTAGGCCTCTGCACGGGTTACCATAAATATCCTTTAGTAGTCCAAACGTAATGACATATTTCGTATTTTCAACCACTGCGCAGCTTAGTACCCCGAACGTAATGACATCTTTCTTATTTTTCATCAACTGCGCAGTTAACTTCGTCACATCGGACTACTAAATTGATCCGTGCTGAGGCCTTTCTTATTCTAGGAGGTGTTGTGTTTACTCCATAAGTTGAGTTTTCATGAGTATTATAAAACAAGAATAATAATTTTAAAAAATTACAAATTTCAATAAAGTCATTTGATTTTTAAAATAGCTAAATTTTTGGTGTTTTTTTTTACCAGTTCTCCCCCATATTTTCGAGAGAAAAAAAAATTTTTTTTCATTTTTTTTATTCTTATCAAGTTTTAATGTATAATTCACACATAAATGCATATAAAAACTTTATAAACTAAAAATATAAAATTTTACCTCCAAAAGTATTTGGGCACCTTAAACGCTCCATTTTTTAAGCTCTTGTCAAGTCACAAATGACCAGCTCAAGTATCGAATTTAGTATCTACAACTCAATTTTCATTAACCCTTTCGCGCCGACTGTCACGTATACCTACCAGCATGAATTGTGTGCGGATATTAATAGTTAGATTTATTTAACTCACCGCTAGTCAGTTCAAAATAAAAATTATACAGCTATTTTTTGAACTAATATCAGTTAGACCCAGCTTAAGATTGTAAACTTAATGACTTGTAAACACATGATTGCCTAGTATAGGTGAATCGGTTGTTGGAGCTTCGCGCCATTACCGAGCTCCCACCAGTATCCAACAAACAACATCGGTTAGATATCTTGAAATTGAAATAAAAGCAAAAATATGTCTGTTGAATTAGCCATTCATCCATATAAGTTACCGCTTTTAATTCTTTTTTTTCAATCCTGATTCTGTTTCTGTACGAATGCAGTTATGACTCGATCGTTCCGAAGATTTTAAATATAAAGCAATAATCTAACTTGAAAAAAGACGTTTTGAAAAAATATCGAGATTCAAATACAATTATTTATCTCTACAGCATTTATCTGTTCCACCCAGACTAAGATT